CCCCACCACACTTACATACAATAATATACATGTACATACATATACGTACAATAACATACATGCATACTCACAAACACACACACACACATATATATATATATAATATATATATATATATGTATATATATATATATATATATATATATATATAGAGAGAGAGAGAGAGAGAGAGAGAGAGGAGAGGAGAGAGAGAGATAAGAGAGAGAGAGAGATAAGAGAGAGAGAGGGAAAGAGAGAGAGGATAATTAAAACTGATCACGCAACAATATAATAAAAATAAGTTTACAAGCACCAACACAACAAAGACATCAAGAAAATGAAATAGTATGCAGAAGAAGAAGTAACAACAAATGCATTAAGATCATAAGCTGCCTCACACAAACACACTCTCACACACACACACACACACACACACACACACACACACACACACACACACACATACATACACACGCACGCACACGCACATACACACGCACGCACGCATTACCATCAATGACAATAGACATGAATGAACACGAGATTAACTCATCATCATTATTGACGAACTCATCATCGTCATCATCATCATCAACATCATCATCGTCGTCGTCGTCATCATTGTCAACATCACCATTGTAGTCATCATCACCATCATCCTCATCAAACCTCCTCACAAATTTTTTTGCGTTTCAGGTCAAGTCCCAGGTAGGATTTGTTAATAATAATAATAATAATAATAATAAATAATAATAATAAATAATAATAATAAATAATAATAATAAATAATAATAATAAATAATAATAACAATATTAATCGTCGATATCGTCGCCGTCATCTTCCGGACAACATAAAAAAGTACCAAAGTCTTTGTCTTTCTGCAGAATACATCTCCATGAGTGGATGAATTAAAAAGTGAATGAGCGAATGCATGGATGGGCGAATAGATTTACAATTGAACGAATGAATGAATGAATGAATGAATGAGTGCTTAGATGAATGGCTGAATGAATGAAAGGATGGATGAATAATTGGATGATTATATAAACAAAGGAATGAACGAACGAATAGACGAACGCGAAAAATAAACAGAGTGAGGAATTAGAAAATGAATGAATGAATGAAAGAATGAATGAATGAATGAATTAATGAATGAATAAAGGTATAAATGAATGAATAAATGAGTGAGTGAATAAATGGATGTTTGAACAAAAGAACAAATGAAGGAGAAAAAAGTAAAAGAATAGGATGGACAAAAACAGAGGATCAAAGAAAATTATGTACATACATACATACATACATTCGATGCAGACACAAATAAAATTCATCAAATAAATAAATGAATGAAAGAATTAACAAACGAACGAATGAATGAATGAATGCATGAATGAATGAACAAATGAATGAACGAACGAATGGATGAGATACCCTTTCAAAGTAGCAACAACAACAACAAACATCAAACAACAACAAACAACAGCAACCGTCCAAACCACAACAACGAAAACAACAGCAACAAAATACACTAACAACAAAAAATATCTACAACTACAACAACAACATCAACAAAAACAACATATTGTCAACAACCATGTACCCATTTTAAAAGACTTCTTGAAATCTCTCTCCACTGATTTCTTCAAAATGGCTTGCTTTCTTTCCTAATGAATCATCATCATCATTGCCCTCATCATCATCATCATCATCATCATCATCATCATCATCATCATCATCATCATCATCATCATTGCCCACATCATCATCTTCATCATCATCGTCCACATCATCATCATCATCATCACCATCATTACCATCATCAAATTGTGGACATCTATTACGAACCAATCATATGAATCATCATCATCATCGCCATCACAATAACAAAACCACCAGCCCCACTATTACCATCACCACCACCACCACCACCACCAACCAGATCTTCATCCAAAAGTTTCCTCCTCCTCTCTTCCACAATCGCTCGGTGCTCCTCCTCTTTCTTCCTCGCTTCCTCGATCTTTTTCCTTCGATCCTCTTCCTGTTTCCTGCGAACCTCCTCGGCCTTCTGCATGGCCTCCTCCATTTCCTGCTGTTTCTTTCGCTGCTCTTCTAGCTTTCTCTCTCGGGCCAGGCGAACTTTTTCGTCGCGTTCTTTACTCTTTGGTGGGGCTGATAGGTGGTTGGTTATGTGATGATAGTGGTGGTGTTTGTGGCGGTGATGTTGTCAACATGTTGTTGTGTGGGTGATGATGTTGTCAACATGTTGTTGTGGGGGCGACAATGTTGTCAACATGTTGTTGTGGGGGCGATGATGTTGTCAACATGTTGTTGCGGGGCGATAATGTAGCGGTGGTATTGTTTGTGATGATGAGGCTGTTTATTTGTTCTTGCGGTTTTGTCTGAGGTGATCTCGTCGTCTGTTGCCCTCATTCATTGTCATTCTTTATCAGATCATCATCACTTCATCATTAACGTCATCCAACCCTCACCATCAGATCATCATCATTATCAACATCATTAACATGATCATAATCATCATCCAACCACCACCAACAATGCCACCATCATCATCAGTACCACTCTCTCCTCCTAACTAACTGGCATCATCTCTCAACAGCGTATTATTTGCCAGAGGACTAGCGTAGGCGGGAGATCCAAGTGCGAAAACTCCCGAGCTGGATTTTTTAACAGGAGACACACCACGAATGTTTTCAAAGTTATTACCAGTTCCAGCTGTCGATCTCGACTTATTTGACTTTAAATCACTTTCAGCTGAAAATTCTCTACTTTTCAGGCCCGTAACTTCATGTTGGTTGACTTCATCAGACTTGAAATTTTTGCTCGGATCGTCGGGATTGGAAGTCAACTGCTGGAGAGGGTTAGCTGAATTAGTTTCACACTTTTGATTCGTAGAGGAAATATTGACCGATCCGGCACCCTGCTGCTGCATGTTTGTGGCTTCTGAAAATTGCTCAGTGGAAGTTAGATGTAATTTGCTGTTAGACATCAATATACTATTCAGATCAGGCAGTTCTGCCAATTTGTTTCCACCAGACATCACCAGACTGCAGTTGGCATCGATTGGTGTTTCATAGCAACTAGAAGGTACTTGATCATCATCTAGAGAGATATAGGCCCTAGCCTCTAGATTCGAACGAGGGTCACTACTATCGTTCATTTGAATATCACTAGATATGTAGGAAACAATTTCTGCATCATCTTCTGTATCTGTGCCTAGTATGTTGTGCTGATTGAGGTTTATAGTGCTAGATATAGTAGTGGTGGGGCCCTCTTTTTGATCTTGACTTAGTGAATCAGAGAGACTGTCTGTAAATATTTCTGTGCTCACTAAAAATAGAAATTAGTTAAAATTAAATTTTATTATTTAATAATCTTAAATACAAAACATTTAATTTAAACTTTTAAAAGTTCGAGTAGAATGATGATATGAGTATGTGATTCTGTTTTTGAAAAAAAAGATCTAGAATATTTTGTGCGCATCTAGCATTGAAAGTTTTAGTAAATTTAATTCTCAGTGGCGGAAGGGTAGAAGTAGAAACGAAAATGGCGAAAAGTAAAAAAAATAGCCATGTTGGACATGTTAATTTAAATCTTTGAACCTACTTCTTTGATATTTCTTCTTCTTCAGGTTGTGTTGAGGTTGTTGTCAGCCTACAAAAAAATAAAAACAAGTGAGTCAGAAGAAACTTTCAGAACGAAATAAAAAGTTATCGTGCCATAGTATAAATAAGTTGAATAAATTACAATTAAGAAAAAAAATATTATTTTTAATATCAGCTCTTAAATTGTGTTAAAATCGGTAATTAATTAAAATAATAAAAAATGTAATTCGTAAAAACTCGTTAAAATTCGGCACGAATAATGGAGCGCTTCATTTTTAGACATTTATAAAAATACGATACCTTTCAACATCTGCGTGCAGAATAAAATAACTTTAAAAAAAATTGTTTAAACTAATCACAGACCAAAACTATTAAAATAATTTAAAATTATTATAATCATATTGCTCACAATCAAGAAAATATTTATGGAAATTTGCAGTCTAACCAACAACCCTTTATAACAGATGGCAAGTTTAAAGGTGTCTTGATATTAACATGATAATCTTATTAGTATTAATTATTTTATTATTGTTAAAATTATTCCATTATATTAGTTCTCTAATTATAATCATATGACTATCATATCTATCCATGCATATGACAAAGACCTTGTCGATCCCATAGTAACGAAATGCAAATAGGTAGATTTGAAAAAAAATTCAACATCAGCATTTGTATGATTATCTTTAATTAAGAACCACAACGGACAATTTTGATTGTTTAATATTTCATGTAAATTTAATCAAAATGTTGAAATTTGTGATGTGCATTAAAAATTAAATAAATGCATAAACGAAAATGCTAAATATGTATAATGAAGGCGATTCAAATACACGTATAAATATACGTGGAATCATCTTGGAATGATTCTGTGAAAACAATTTCTCCTTCCTAAAAAATAAACTGATTTTAAATAAAAGAAAAGATTGCGTGAAAGACTGTGGCATTAATATCACATTTTTTGCTTAAAAATATGAAAAAAAACTAATTTATCTGAGTGAATAAGTTGAAATTAAATGATGTCTTCAAATTTTTGCAGTTTCAACCATACATTTTCATCATTTCAATCATTCACATCAGTAAAAAACTTATTTAATGTATGTACTACACTATTATAGAGTATTAACCACAATGCTAACCGTACAAAAATGACGTCATCGAACGAACGTCTTCGAAACTTTCTGATTGGCTGGTTGAATCTGCTATATTGCTTTTTATATAAACATATAATGTTTAATTCTAATCATTAATTATTTAATTTAATCTAATCATTAATTATTTGTATACATGGATTATAGTTACTACATATATATATATATATATATATATATAATCATTAATTATTATTATTATATATAATCATAATCATCATTAATTATTTGTATACATGGATTCTAGTTACTATATATATATATATATATATATATATATATATATATTTCTTTATTTAGTTCTGCCTGCGTATGATATTTGGTCAAATTTATTTGATAGGAATTGAATATAACCTTTATACCGGCTGATTACCATGCAGTAAAATAACTACAGTTAACATGACGTCATTTCCTTCAACGATTTCGCAACGAATTACCCATCCTATTTAATAAATTTTATTTGATGTTTTTTGATTAGTCAGGTAACAATCATCATCATCGATATCGCAATGAAATCAAATTGAGAATTTTTAAATTTTTGAAAAAAGTATTTTTATTATACTACTTTCTTTGTTCAATAAGATACTGTTTGATACAAGGGGATGTCTATAAACCAATATACAACACTTTCTTATGGGTTGAAGCTGGGCTATGCAAAAAACCTCAATTTTTTCAACTTTTAATTTTTTTCGGTTTTAATAAGTATTTTTTTAAATTTATACCAATAAAAGTAATCAATTACCACATTGAATAACAATTTAAACAAAATTAATTTAAAACCTTTTAAAACATTTTAAATAAAAGCAATATTCCGAAATTAGTAAATATAAGATCGTGACTTTTGACTCGAATGATAAAAGGCCGTTGTTCTAGTTATATGGCTTGATCCAAGGGGAGGCCTATTTACCATTAAACAACACTTTCTTATGGGTTGAAGCAGGGATATGCAAAGAATCTCAATTTTTGCAACTTTTAATTATTTTCGGTAATGTCGATTTTATTTGTTTAAATTTTTACCAAATAAAAGTAATTAATTACCATATTGAATAACAATTTAAAAAAATAAAATTTTAACATTTTAAATAAAAGCAATATTCCGTAATTAGTAAATATACTATTGTAACTTTTAACTCGAACGGTAAAAAATCACCCTCCATCTTCCCTCCAGAAGTAAGCTCCTTGTTCAACCGTTGAAAGTGAGCGAAGGCCGTTATATTTATTCTAGTTATATGTATCAAACAGTATCTTATTGAACAAAACAGTATCATAAAATGAATAAAGATTTTTTTTTTTTAATTTAAAAAAATTCTCAATTTGATTTCATTGCGATATCGATGATGATGATGATTGTGACCTGACTAATTAAAAAACATCAAATAAAATTTATAAAATAGGATGGGTATATCGTTGAGAAATCGTTGGGGGAAATGACGTCATGTTAACAGTATTTATTTCACTAGATGGTAGTTGATCAGCCTGTATAAAGGTTATATTCAATTCCTATCAAATAAATTTAACCAAATATCATACGCAGGCAAAACTAAATAAAGAAATATATATATATATATATATATATATATATATATATATATATATATATATATATATATATATACGTAGTTATAATACATTTATAATATTGTATTTACACATTCAAATTGTACAATTGTGTTATGTGTAGTTTCAAATTATTTTGAATTTTCTCGGAAAAATTTAAACTTTTTACTATATATATGTATATGTTACTTTTATCAACAATTATTAAAAAATTTTCAATTTGATTTCACCGCGATATCGATGATGATGATTTTGACCTGACTGATTAAAAAGCATCAATGAAAATTTTTAAAATGGGATGGAAAATTTGTTATATTGGGATATTCGTATATAAAGCGAGCAAAAGTTTAATATAAAAGCGCTTATAAATCTACGCATATTGGCTCAGCTTGGCTTGGCTCGTCTTGAAATTGGATGTTAAGCTAGGTGTGGTCTCAAACAATTTGGAATTCTCTCAGAAAAATTTGAACTGCGTGCGCACATATGTAGCACTGATTACTGTTGCTTCAATAATGAATTTATATACTATATATATAAAGCGAGCAAAATTTTAATATAAAAGCGCTTATAAATCTACGCATATTAGCTCAGCTTGGCTTGGCTCGGCTTGGAGTTGGTTGTTAAGCAAGGTATGGTCTCAAACTTTTTTGAATTCTTCCCGAAAAATTTGAACTGCGTGCCTACATATGTAGCATTGATTACTGCTGCTTTTATAATGAATTTATATAATATATATCGTTGACGTCAATTTAGTACGGTTAGCATTGTTGTTAAGACTTTATAATAGTGTACTACATACATTAAAAAGGTTTTTTACTGATGTGAATGATTGAAATGATGCGAATGTATTGTTGAAACTAGTATAAATAGGAGCTGAGACAGCATGAAAATCAGATCAGGCATTCTGCCTCGCTTAAGGCTTGAAGCGGTCTGCCTGATCTAATTTATTTTTTTTATTTTATTTATTTTATTATATAGAGTTATATAGATTTATATAGGGTTGCGCTGCTATATATGTTTGTCTGTGGTTTGTATGTTTGTATTTTTTTAATTTTAGGTGGGTTCTTTAGCGGTTGCTCATACATACATACATACATTATGTTTGCTTTTTGTGGTAGTATGTTATGTTCTGTTTTGCTCCTTTTTCTCTTTCTTCATGAGTCTTGAGTTAAGTTAATGAAACATAGGTAGGTGAGATTAAAAATTAATTTATTATATAGGTAGGCTAGGGCATAAGGTAATTTAGTTACATAGGTAGGTTAGGGACATCTATTCTTTTACTCTTACTTGGTGGTGTGTATTTTGTTTTGTGTTTTTTTTTGTTTTGTTTTACACTATACCTTCAACAGGTACGCGGTGGTTCCTGGTTTTAGTGGAATTTTTATTGATTGAATTTGGCAGTTTGAATGGTTATATAGAGTTATATGGAGTTATATGGAGTTATATGGAGTTATATGGAGTTATATGGAGTTATATGGAGTTATATGGAGTTATATGGAGTTATATGGAGTTATATGGAGTTATATGGAGTTATATGGAGTTATATGGAGTTATATGGAGTTATATGGAGTTATATGGAGTTATATGGAGTTATATGGAGTTATATGGAGTTATATGGAGTTATATGGAGTTATATGGAGTTATATGGAGTTATATGGAGTTATATGGAGTTATATGGAGTTATATGGAGTTATATGGAGTTATATGGAGTTATATGGAGTTATATGGAGTTATATGGAGTTATATGGAGTTATATGGAGTTATATGGAGTTATATGGAGTTATATGGAGTTATATGGAGTTATATGGAGTTATATGGAGTTATATGGAGTTATATGGAGTTATATGGAGTTATATGGAGTTATATGGAGTTATATGGAGTTATATGGAGTTATATGGAGTTATATAGAACATAAATCTTATATATATACCTTTCTTTGAGGTTCTTTTCTTTGCCGACCGGTCGGCTTCTTTGCGTTTCTCTATTTTCATTTAAATTAATTAAATAAATAAGATTTGTCCATTCATTTAGATTCTTTCAGGTTCATTCATTCAGGTTGAAGCTTCCGGAGGAGTTCATCGTGGAAGATCAGAATGGTTGTGATGTCACGCTACGTTCGTTCATTCAGTGTCAAAGAATGCACCCCTGGCTGGGGTTCGTTTTACGGTTTCTTTGCGGTTTCTCTTTTTGCCAATTGGCTGGCTTTTCCGGCTGGCGGGTTTCACCGCGGCTCGTTTCTCTATTTTAATTTAAATTAATTAAATAAACAAGATTTTTTTATTTCATTCATTTCATTCAGGCTGAAGCTTTCAGAGGTGTTCATTATACGTTTTATTCTTTTTTCTCTGTAATTTAAAAATAAGAAGGCTTACACGCACACACACACACACACACACACACACACACACACAATTACATTAAGTAGCTATATAGGTAGGTTAGATAGGCATAATTTTAATTGTAGGTAGGATAGATAAGAAGCATCCAACACTAATGTAGTTGAATAGGTAGGCGCGTAAGTTTATCGCTTCTATTTTTTCTTGCACCCACATTACACGCATTAGCGTATTACACACACAAACACATACATAAACACATATATTAGTATTTGAGCGTAATTTTATTTTCAATACACATTCTAATTTATTATTACTAAGGTTGTGAGTAATTTAATTTCATAGGTAGTTAAGGGCAATAATGTAATTCTAGGAACAATCTTGTAATGTAAATTAAAACGCTGTATGTGTATCGATAGGTAGGTTAATTATAAGTTTTATATTATTATTATTATGTTGGAACCCAAGGCATTACGTAGGTGGTGGGGTGGGTGCCGAAAGGCCAATGAATTGGGCTCTTGAGTTTTGTAATTTTAGGTAAGTTAAGGCCATAATGTAATGAATAGGTAAGTTAAGGCTACGTTGTAACACATACTCATTAATAGATTTAGGGTTTAAGTTTTATATTATTATTACTAAGTTGGAGCCCAAGGCATTACGTAGGTGGTGGGGTGGGTGCCGATAGGCCAATGAATTGGGCTCTTGAGTTTTGTAATTTTAGGTAAGCTAGGGCTTAATTGTAATGAATAGGTAAGTTGAGGGTACGATAGCCGATAGACTCTGAATTTCAAAGTCCGTTGTCAGAGGTAAGCCTTGGTGGCCAGTGGTGAACCAGCAATGGTTTACTATCCGGACGGCAATGGTTTACTATTTGCACGGTAATGATTTACTATGCGGCATGGCCATAGTCTACTACCCGCACGGCTTCCGGACGGCAAATGGTTTACTATCCGCACAGCAATAGTCTACTATCCGCACGGCAATGGTTTACTATCCGGTGCCCTGGCTGTCGGTGAACCTCTGTGCAAAGGGGGGAGAATGAAGGGGGACTTTTGACTATCGTACCATTAACAATTTAATATAGATTAGTTAAGGTAATTGAATAGGTAGATAGGATTATTTTTATTAAGCAATTTGAGGTGCAGGCACTGCTAACCTTTCTGATGAGAATTTTCTCTTTCTCCATTCCACGGGCTGTGTTTCAGCAACAATCTCGAGGAGGACTGGCACCAGTTTTGGAGGACAACGTAGGAACCGGAAAGCATTCAACATTCTGCCTTTGTCGAATGGACGACGGTAAGTTTTTTTTACATTTTAATCTCTTTATTATTTTCAGTTATTATTTATTTGCCATTATTTCCATTTGATAATTTTTTGCTTCTAAGATTCTAACATTCATTTACTACTACGCTAATAAACAAAATTGTCTACAGAATGATGAGAGGTGGGCAGTGGTGGGAGTCAGCACGTTTCAGATGGTGGTCTCATGATGATTTACGTATGATGATGTGGTGTAGGAAGAATCAGCGCGTTGGCTGTTCGACTGACACTCAGAAGTTCGGATGAAATCTTGTGTGCCGATCTGAATGTGGTGGTCGGTGCGGTCGGTGCAATGGATTGAAGTAACGACGATTTTCGAAGTAAGGTTTAGTTTCGTTTTTTTTATTTTTCTCATTCATTCATTTTTTCCCTCAATCTTTCAAATTATTCTTCCATTAATTGACGTTAATTCGTTCTATTCATTCATTCATTCATTCATTCATTCATTCATTCATTCATTCTTTTAATTAATTATTTAATCATTCAGTTCATCATTTATTCGTTCGTTCCTTTGTTCCTTGATTTACTACTAAGCTAATAAAAATATATTTTTACAGAATGCTGAGAGGTGGGCTGTGGTGGGCGTCAGCATGTTTCTGGTCTCATGATGATCGTTCCGATGACAATTTGAAGATAATATTAAAAGAAAATTTGTTCTTGTCCCATCGTACCATTGAAAGTACTCGAATTTGTCATCTCAATAAGATAAGTTGCCTTTTTTTCCAATGGCTTGTTTTTTACTTTAAAAAATTATTTTTATTTCAATTTAGTGTTTTTCAGTATCCGGTCAAATTCATTCCATCGATGCGTGTCAGATGGTGGTAGGTGCAATGGAGGTTCGTCCGTAGTGAGTGAAGAAGTTTTTGGAGAGTACACGCCCGCACATTTACACGCACACATCAATAAAACACATATACAACATCCATTCATTCGGTGTCGTTGTTATGTTTTTCTTCAACTTTCCATTTTCTTTACCTGACTTAATTTAATTCGTCGGTAAGTTAGGGATTGAGATGAGATGAACAATCGTAGGTAGGCTAGGGCTTAACATTAGTTAAAAAGTTTCAAGTAAAATAAAAACGCTGAAACATGTAAAATAAAATACCTAAAACATGTAAAATTCCAAAAACGTATAAAAACATATTTGTAGGTAGGTGAGTTGAGTTAAGGATTATAAGTAAGCTAGGGCCCTGAGAATAATTTAATTGTAGGTAGGTGACTGACTACTATTCTTGCGACTTTTTACTAGTTTTTTGTGATGTGTTTGTTTTCGCTTCGCAGCCCCACACCAACAAAACAAACTACATTTTATTCTCGTCGTCGCCTTAAATTTTACCTTTTTGAACAATCTTTTTAATAATGTCTATTTATTTAATTATTTATTAAATGTTGACTGGTTTCTAGTTTTTTTAATTTGGTTATATAATTTTTGGATATTTCTTGATTTAATAAAAGCAACTACTGTGTTTTTCTTTCTTTATTAAAATCTCGAAATTGTTTGTAGATCTGTACAGTTAAGTGTTTGTTCGAGTTTGAACAAGCCTGCAAATATTTTTCAAATATGGTTCATTGATTGGTCGATTGGTTGGTTGATTAGTTGATTGAATGAATGGTTGGTTGGTTGATTGATTGGTTGATTGATTGATCTCATAGTATTGTATATATGAAAAAAAATCCGATTAAGCCAACATACGGCTTTACTTGGCCACTGTATTTTACCAGATAAAAGCAATTTCTTTATTTATATTGACAAAACTAATGGTGAAATGACTATATTGACTTATTTAAAGCATTATATGTAAAGAAAACCGCCATGACACTGTTGTATGAGACCCAGTAAGCCACTGCAGTAAGCCAACGTATGATTTCAACAACCATAATTTCTATGAGCACCAGCAGAATGTAAAATATTCATTGAATATAATGAAGATAGTTGTTCAAATAACAATTTTGATCTATTAGGCCGTTTATTTCATGAGCAAACAAATTTTTAACATGATCGAATAGTGTAAAAAAGCCACCGGATTTCACAGGACCAAAAGTATAATTTTTATATTCAAATTAACAAAAATAATTTAATAATACATAATTTTATTTAATAAAATCATAATTTTATTTAATAAAATTAAAGAGAATTACTACAATGTTTTAAGCATATTAAGTCAAGTAAATATTTCATATAGCTTGCTCGTTAAAATCCATGCAATTTCGTAAGCCAATAATCCAAGCATGTCAAATAGCCCGACTCTTGACTCGAACGATAATAAATCACATATATATAATTATATCCATGGGCTTGATACATATAACTAGAATTCAAAACATTCATAAACTTATTCACAGTCTTTTTGCGGCAATATCGCTTTATTTTAAAAGTAAACAACATGGCGGACAGAACGTCTTACACGGACGAGCAGTTACTCGCCGGATTAGAGAAATATGGCGAAGTTAATATCAAAATTAATGACAAAACAAGACATATTTATATTAAAAAGTTGAATCACTTCAAAGCGAGAGAGTTAATGAATCAAAAAGCCGAAGCTCTACAACAGCGTAAAAAGTCGCCGGCCCGGAATACAACCAATCGACGATCGGCCCTTTCCTCACAAAAAGCTTACGACAGTGTTGCGAATGAAGTTCTGGACGATGAAGATCTTTCGGAGCGCCATCTGCGTAGACGCACAATCAACCTGGCACCATCTTCTGCCTCGGCAACTTCTAGTTTAATTAATAGCCACCACCATGACACAAGAAGAAATTCACCCTATAAAAGTCCCGGTCGGAAAGTAGATCTCCCACAATCTAATAATTTATTCTCCACTTCAACTCCGGTTGTTTCGCCCCAGCAACATCTCTCCCGACTACCCCCATCCGACATGAGATACAGTAGAAGAGGGGCAGGTGATGTTCTGTTTGGGAGGGATTACTCACACGTTAGTAGCGACTTTAACGAGGCAACTCCACCAAGATCTAGTGCTGGAGAGTTCTTCAGCAAGCTGATGTCCAAAGCCAAACTGCCTGATTATTCTTTACGTCACAAGCAGTCTTCACTTGATGTAGGCAACAAAAGTCGGACTTTTAATGAATTTTCTGACTCGGAGGGTGAGGTCGAAGTTTCCACAAAATGCGTCAACACGTCCTTCCCTCCATCCGATGATGACACATTCACTAAATATACACCCAACAGATTCTCATCAAAATTTTCAGGCTCACCAGTTAGGAAAACTGAAAGATCTTTTGCCTCTGCTAGAACGGCAGAAAGCTCAAAATGGCATTTGTTTTCGAAGTTGGTAGTGTTCGGTGTCGTAGTGTTCTTCCTGGCTGTGGCCTCTGTTTACCTTTACAGGGCTTTCCTAACTACCCCATATGCCATTGTTCAGATAGGTGGTGCTCATGTTTAGTTTTACCTATTAATAATTGAGGAAATTAATTAGTTAATTTTATTGTAAACTAATTAAATTAGGTGATTCATTATTATTGCTTTATGAACTTTTTCTTCATTTTAATTGATTATTTTGTTTTTTTGTTTAAAAATTTTAAATATAATATTTTCAAGGACAAGAAGTCTGCATAGATATAAAGAGTGGCAAAGATAAAGTAATTAGTTTCATCATCTCCATCGTTATCTCCATCATCTTGATTATCATTCATTTGTTATCGCCATTTTATTATCATCACCATTAGGATTGTCATCATCAGTAAGATGATCACTATCATCATTTCTGTAACCGTCACTTTTCATCACCCATGGTCATCATCATCATCATCATTTTTGCAATCATCACCACCATCATCATCATACAATCATTTTCTTCATCATCACAATTATTATCATTACAATTGTCATCATCATCACAGCCATCATCATCATCACAGCCATCATCATCATCACAATCATCATCACAATCACATCATCATCACAATCATCATCATCATCTTAACAATCATCATCAGGTATGCTTGAATGAAGAGGAAAGGAATGCACTGAATGATGTTGTTGTAATGTTGGCTCTGAGATCAGGTAAGTTAGTCAGTCACTCATTTCTGGCAGTTTTGTTCCATTCCCTCTATCCATCTTTCATTCATTCATTCATTCATTTTTCCATTCTATCTATGTATCTTTCATTTATTGTTTCATTCTGTCCATCCATCTTTCATTCATTCATTGTTTCATTCTATCTATCCATTTTTCATTTATTCATCCATTGTTTCATTCTGTCAGCCCATCTTTCATTCAATTATTTCCTTGTTTCATTCTGTCTATCTATCCTCAACACATGCACGCACACCCAAACACACACACACACATACATTAATCACACACACACATTACTCACACACACACACACACACACACACACACATTACTCACACAAACACAAGTTCAAACATATACACACGTGCATAGGTGAAAATAAGTGTTCTCTGACAAATGTTGATGCTGATAATGATGATGATGATGATGATGACAATGAAGAAGTCAGCATTGATGATGTCAACAAAAGCAGGAGTGGAAATGTCATGCTGACTGAGATTGCTAACTCATTGAATGAGAAATATGACGACGTCGGAGAGGTTAGTAGTTGGATGATTGAATTATTTGTTCGTTCGTTGATTGATTGTTTGACTGACTGACTGATTGGTAGATTAATTGATTAATTGGCTAATTGGTTGATTGATTTTTTTGTTAATTGATTAGACTGTATGGTTTTTTGGTTCATTGATTTGTTTGTTGATTGATTGATTGATTGATTGATTGATTGATTGATTGATTGATTGATTGATTGGCTAATTGGCTAATTGGTTGATTGATTTTTTTGTTAATTGATTGGACTGGATGGTTTTTTGATTCATTGATTTGTTTGTTGGTTGATTGATTGATTGGTTTGCTGACTGGTTGTTTTAGTTGATTGGTTGACTGTTTCATTGACTGAAACACTGGTTGAATAAAGGATTGAATAAATGAATGATTGATCAATCGATCGATCAATTGATTGATTGATTACAATTCTACAGGATGAAAATTATAAGGTGAACATGAGGAACATTGTTATGGCAGTTCAAGCCAAACCTGCTTGGAATATTAGGTTGGTTGGTTGGTTGGTCGGTTGGCTGGTCGGTTTGTTGATTTATTGATTATGTGTTGTTAGTATGTGTCACTGTTCTTATTTAGCTCAGATTGATTGAATAATTAATTGGTTGATTGATTAATTATATAATTTTAATAATTGATTGATTGATTGGTAATTTCGAATGAATAAAATGAGCATCCAACCAACCAACCAACAGCTTAACATGCAAAGTGTCATCTTCACCCTCGTCACCGTCATCATCATCAACAACGACGCAACTGAAGCGCGGGAAAATTTGCAATGGCGCCAAATACAATGACGTCATTTCCATGTCTTCAGGGATTTCCATCCTGCCTCTGATGTGTCGGGTCAAAAAAACCCTTAGATTCATTACATTCAATCTACTGCTCGCAGTCGGAGGTTGGATGATTGGTTGCTGATTGATTGATTGGTTGGTTGGTTGGTTGGTCAGTTGGTTGGTCAGTTGGTTGGTTGGTCAGTTCTCGATGGATTGATTGGTTAGATGATTGATTGAATGATTGACTTGTTTATTTATTTATTTAGCAATGGCTTCAATCATTGGATTGATCTGGTTGGCCATTCAACTGAAGAAGAGCCATGATAGGAGGAAGAGAGATATTCATAAGATGGCCAATGAAATTATCGGTTGGTTGGGTGGATGGCTGGATGGTTGGTTGGTTAGTGGTTGGTTGGTTGGTTAGTTAAGTTGGTAGGTCAATGAAATTATTGGTTGGTTGTTGGTTGGTTGGATGATTAGTTTTTTGGTTGGTTGGTTGGATGATTGTTTGTTGATTGGTTAGTTAGTTGGCTGATTAGTCAGTTAAGTTAGTTGGTTGGTCAGTTAGCTGATTGATTAGTTGGTTGAATGATTAATTCATTGAGCAGATCTATGGTAATCATAACTGTTATTATTATTATTATTATTATTATTATTATTATTATTATTGCAACATGCACAGAATTGTTGCAGAAGCATTCAGTCCTAAGTAGGAAGGATTCCAAGGTGAAACCATTCATCCCGCTGTCCCACGTCCGCGATGCACTCATCCCGATGGCTGACAGGAAGAAGAAGATGTCCCTCTGGAATAGGTCAGCTGTTGTTATTTATTTCATTACTCAGTCAATCAACCAATCATTCAATCATTCATTCAATCAATTATTCAATCAATCTACTGGTTGGATAATTAATTGTGTAGAACTATAATAATCATAAATTGTTATTATTGCTGTTGTTCTCAACCACCCAGCCAGCCAACCAACCAATCAATCAGTCAACCAATCAACCAACCAGCCAACCAAAAATTTATTCAACCAACCCAACAACAACAACAACAACAGAGCCATCAGATTCATAAGTGAGAATGAGAGTCGAGTAGAACAAGACGTCCAGATGATAAACGGCGAAGAAGTGGCTATCTGGAAATGGGTGGAGGTTGTGATGATGATGATAATGGTGGTGGTGATGATGATGATGATGACAATGGTGATAATTATGATGATGACGATGGTGATGATGATGATGACGACGATGGTGGTGGTTATGATGATGACGGTGATGGTGACTGTGATGATAGCAATGATGATGTTTTGTAATACTTATGATTTTGATGATGCCAATGGTCGTCGTAATCTGTGCTTATGATAATGAGGGTGATAATGATGGGGATTAGGAGGATGAAGATGATTACGTTGAAGATGAAGCAGCAGTTGTGATGATGATGTGATGATGGTGATGATGAAAACGTTATGGTAAATTATGGAGGATGATAATATGACGATGATGCTTATGGTGATGAACATTATGGTGATGTGTGTGATGAAAATAATGATGAAGATGATAAAAATGATGATGATGAAAATGATGATGCTGAAACGATTCCAAAAAACACAGCTTACGGTGGATCCAATCTTCAACCAAGTGCCACCGACCGACTCAACAACAACAGCAGCAGCAACAATAACATCAGCAACATCTCAACAAAATCAACCAACAACAATAAAAAAATCGTTGTCGACATCATTCTCATCAGCGTCGTCATCATCAGCAGCATCGTTTTTACCATCGTCGTCATCATTCTTATCTAAATCATTCAACGCTGCTGCTACTACTACTTCCTACACGGCAAAAGCTACGTCGGCCTGCTTCAAAATTCTCAACATCATTAATGATGATGATGGCGATGGTGATGATGGCAATGGTGACTATCAAGATATTCAAGATACTGATCGTGGTCGACATTTCAATTCTTACGAGAAACAATTGGGCAAGAGAAAGTGAGTAGTGGTGGTTGTGATGGCGATGGTGATCATGGTGATGATCATGATGATGGTGATGATATTGGTAGAGATATATTTACTCATTTATTTTTTTCACTCATCAATCCATCCATTCATCCGTTAATCAATCATAAAATTCTCATTTACTCATTTTATTCATCCAATCATTCATTCATTTAACTCATCCATCTGTTGATGTGTCCTTCAATCAATCAATCAATCAATCTATCAATCCATTTATTAATCAATTACCAATCCATCAATCATTTCATTCTTTAAACACTCCTTCCATCCACCCATTAATATGTTCATTTATTCATCCATCCTCTCATCAATTTTTCATTCATTCATCTATCCATTTTATCCATCCTAGTTATCTCCCTCCCCTGCTGAAAGATAGCATTTTGGATACCTGTGGACAGTATCACGGGATACTTCATATCGGATGCGATCGAGTGATGGAGCCGGTTAGTTGGCTAGATGAATGAATGATTGCCTCATGAACGAATGAATGATTGGATGAATTAATGATTGGATGATTTAATTATCTAATGAATTAATTAATTTAATTAATAGATGGTTGTATGAACCATTGGCTGAATAAATGGTTGGATAAATAAATGATGAATGAATGATTGATTGAATGGATGAATAATTGTTTTGATATATATTGCAGATAATGAAAAATGAATGATTGAATGAATGAACAAATGAATGAATGAATAAATGATAAATAGAGAATTATTCGTGAATGAATGCTATCAATATCTCTAAAATGTTATTCTGATCATAAAAATTAATTTATGCTAATTTATTAAAACTCAATATACGTACGTAGGGGGCAGTCTTTGTTAAATGTGTCAGCGAATCAGCAGCCAGTCAGAACTATAATACATTACACGGATGGGTCTATGAAGGTTATTTTTATCTGTCAATCAAATTAATTTCACACTATCATTGGTCATGATTGGTCATTAAATAATCTTTCGTAACCAATTACGTTTTATTGTAATTAGGTCGATTCGTTATGTCTGTAATATATGTATGGATCAATCACATTCTATTTAAATAGGTCATTATTTTATAATAAACTGATCAGCTTTTCTGTTATCAATTACATTCAGTTTGATTAGGTTCATTTATTTCTATCAGCCAATCACATTCAACTTGTTAAACTTTATTTTTTTCCAGTCAGCCAATCGGTTTCAATTTATTTAAATTGATTTTATCCATCAACCAATCACATTTAATTTAATTAGGTCGATTGGTGTCCGTGAAGTACGTAACTCCTTTGGCCTACAAAATGATATTTCCAGACGTCGCCGACTACATGGTGCCGCTGAAGTCTGCGGCCCAGAGGAGGAGGAGCCTAAGTCGAGAAAGAAATAACTGAAGGAGCTTCTGAATATTAATGAGATGTTAATTAGATGGTGGATTATTGTTTTTGTATAGTATTTAGTTGTTGGTTAATTTTGCTAAATTGAGTGATGTTGATAAACTATTACTTGGTAGAAATTATGTACTGGATTGAATAGTTGGTTGATTAATTGATTGATTGGCTGGTTGATTGATTGATTGAGTGAATGATTTGAAAATTAAAGTTATCGTTATCATTATTTTGTTATATATATATATATATATATATATATATATATATATATATCGATGATGATGATAACAATAGTGATTATGTATGATACATACAGTGATGTAGATGATGATAATATTATAATGATGGATAGTGATGTAGATGACGAGATGGTAACAGCAGAAGTGATGATAATAATGATAATGCTTATTAACCGTGTATAAAAAAACAGCTGACCGAAATTTTTTATCTAATTAATTAATCGATTGATTGATTGATGATTGATTGATTGGTTAAAATTTCATTATTTGATTAGGTGTTTTTAACAGTTTGATCGAAGTTTATATTATTATTATTATTATTATTATTATTATTATTATTGACGCCTTTAACTTCTCTTCAGAGCTTAATTAGCTTAATTAAAGATATAATTCAACTCGTTTTTAATGGTTCTCTTTGGCAAAATTCAAAATTAGCTCTAACTAATAAATGCAGTATGGCACAAATGGAGGTAGTTAATCATTGTATTATTATAAGCATTGGAACCTCAATGTGTTTCATAAATACGATATGATATACTGATAATAACGAGCATGATATATGATACGAGATTGATGGTAATATGGGCGGCGTGATGGCTAAGATGACTGGCAGTGCTATTGCAGTCACCTGGTTCGAACGCCAAAGTATCCTTACCTTTCAGATGCGGTGTATTCTAATTCATATTACGTATAATTTATCTTTCATACTTTTCACTCATACTGCAATCATCATCAGTGGGGCAATGGTTCATCAGTGGGTCAAGCGTATCGCAAGGTGATGGTTAAAGTTGATGAAAGAGTTGAACAATTTTTTCTGGTGTGTTTTAATTAGCAATAGCATAGCAGCAGTAGTAATAGAAGCAGCGGCATTAGCAGCAGAAGCGGCAGTGGTAAGAGTATTAATAATTTTAAACGACGTTTCTTAAATCACTTATTACATTGTAGTAAAACATCATTTGAAAACTTCATCAAAATTGTTTCTTATTTCAAAACAAAATTTCCAAATTATACTTCAATAATTTTTACTGGATTAAAAT